CCCATCGTGTGCACCCTTGTGAGCTTGCCAACCAAGGCACCCTGCTTTCCCCTGGCAAATGGTTGAGCACCTGACCCAAGCTCAGCCATCAGATGTGTTCTTCAGGGAGGAATGTGAGGATATGACTGATCAGACTGGATTCACCTGAGAACATGTCCATTAGCTCCTGCTGTGGAAACCCCCAAACTCTCAAAAGGTCTTTCATTTCTAAGCCTGCTTGGTCAGCCCTTCCTTGGATTCTGGAGTTACTCTATCTCCACGGCAGCAGGTCCTTTTATGATTAGGTTGGCAGAGTCCATGTCAGTTCCTTGCAACCCAAAAGTCTTAAATGACACTTCTTCTAAATAATACTAAAGATCTGGCCTTCTGTTCACTACCTTCACCCTCTCTCCTTCATGTGTAATTCTGCTAGAACCATTAGTAGTTGAATGTCTTTGGGATATACCCTCCAAACACATTATCATTAATTCTAATTAAATAATGCAAAATGATATTTTATTTCTACTTTATCAGTGTGGAAAATGAGACACAGAGAAGATAAACCAGTAAATAACAAACAAGATCCCAACAGATCTAACTGTTCCCCTCAATCAGTAAGTGAAACATCTTGCAATAAAGATGTGTTCTTTGCCATTTCACAGGTTCCTAGAGTAAGTAAGGATATTTAGCAACTTATAATGCTTTCTTTCTCCCTTTCTGGTTGTAAATTAACTGTAGGAAACAATTTGTATCACTACCATGTACACATACAACCACACACACACACACACATGCAGATAGGCTTTTTCAAGGCTATAGTTATCCTTGTAGAAACATTACACTTTATGTTGAGAACTGCCTCATTTTTTGTTTCATTTTTAAAAATTCTGTTTATACTCACTAGATTAATTTCCCAACCATTACATCTGACTCACAGCTTCAAAACCTCTATTCTATTGAGAAAGCTGTTTTAAATGACACCAGTTTATTTGTCCAACAGTTTGTAAAAGGAGGCAGGGCCAGGCTTGATCTTTTAAGGCTCCTAATAGTGATGTGTTTACTTTCACAGAGTGTGTTTCCTAGGCCACACTAGCCTGAAGGGAAAACTGGGTTCATCCACACAGCACAGGCTGTTCCTCTTTTACTCTGCTTTCATTGCTCTTCCAGAACCGCCAGCAGCGCCGCCCCCAGCACCCCTTCCGGTCTTTGAGAAGGGCCAGAAGCATTGCACATGTGCTCGCAAACATTGTTCCACATCCTTCCTTTTCCTGCTCTTCTTCTCTGGTTCATGTTGTGATCGTTTGCCAGTTTCTCTGCTGTCCGCATGGCTGTCAGTGCTGCTTAGGTGACTGAGGCTGTGCTGCTGTCATGGAGAAAAAATACAGGTGGTAGTTGAGCCACAGGCCAAGAGGAAGATGTTATTTGTCTCACATCTCTACAGGGGCTGCTGTGGTTGCCAAGATGCGTAGTTCTTCACAGACCTCCCCATGCAACACAGTGGTGCCCATGACGAGAGACAGGCTCCCTTGCTGCCAGGACCTCGAGGTAGATTCTTTGTATCGCTCCTCTAACTTACGTGGGTTCAATACCACTGGGCTGCAAAGAATCTGCATCCTATCTTCACTGCCACCTTCTTTTTTTCAGCTTTGAACTTCATCCTTGGGCCAACCATCCATGGCTATTGTCACTTAAAGTGGTGGATTCTTTCTTTCCCAGGAGGTATTTTTGTTCCTTCATGTGGCTGGACTCTTGATACCACCAATCTATCATCCTGCCCCAGAAGTGCCTGCTTCCTATAGTGAATATAGATTTTAACCAACCTCATTTTTATTTGAAAGGTTTGCTTCCCAAGTACCAAGAGTCACATGTTCAGAACAATAATGATGTTGATGATGATGATAAAATTTTCCCATGAATCAGACCCCACACTAAGCACTTTAGGTATGTTATCTTATTTAATTCTCTCAACCCTTATGTGATACATTCTACTATTGTCCTCATTTTACAAAGGAGAAAACAAAAGCTTAGGAAGGTTAAATAAGTCTATGATCACATGGTTGGCAAAGTGCAGTACATGTCCTGGCCCCTGCTTAGCTGCTCTTGTACGTCTCAGCCTGGGCATTGAGCCGGGCTCAGTGAGGCTCCCAGGTTCCTGGGGCTTCTTCCAACACTGCTTTCATACTTTCTGAGCGCCTTTTTCCAGGGTCACCTGCACGATCCACAGGTGAGCTGCAGATCTTCTCTGAAGTTGAGTCTTGAGCTGGTAGAAACCACTAGTCTTACAGCAGCCTGCTTCCTCCAACCTCTCTGTGCTCTCCCCAGCATCCCAGGTGTGGAGCTGTGGGCAGAAGGGTCAGCAGTAGAAGCCTCTGCCCCAAGCCTGAGCTGCTCAAGACTTCCGTGGAGCTGCCTACCCTGTCTCCCTGGCCACTCCTCAGAGTCAGCTCTAGAACCTGCTCCCAGAAAGGCTGTCAGCATTCTGCATTACATGGTTAAAACTGTGCCTGATCTTGGTGGGTGTTTTAAATGAATAAAGAATTCGAGTCTGGTCTTTAAATGCCATAGGAAAAGAAAAAGTTACTGTCCTTTCAGAATGCCCATTGTAATCTGTCCTTAGAGTCCTCCTCCCCCCACTGTTCATTTTCCACTTGAACTGACAAACTGAACAGCCAGATAAATACAGCTGCGAAGTGAATAGTATGCATATGATTTCTTTCCCTCATTCATTGCCCTCCCAGCTTTACCAAGTCAAAAAGAAAGGCTGCTCGACAGTGTCTACACTAGCATAAAGCCAAGGGCTGATCAAGTTTGACAATCTGATATATTTGAAAGTGAAATGTGGAGGATGAATAACGCTGTCTGATGACACCGTTTGTTTTAACCAAGTATGTGTCATTGTTTCACTGTACACGGGTGGTGGTTCTGCTGCTAGGCATCTGTGTGATCTTAATACCTCAGTTTCCCTATTTGTATACACAGGGATTATGTCCAAGATCTCTGGGTTGCCTGAAAGTTCTCTGCATCTTTGTTTTGTAACAAAATATATCATTTACAAGTCAAATAATTTAGGTTGACTATGTGAATAAAAACAGTCCTCCATAAAATTTTCTCCACGTGATTATTTTATGGAGCAAGTTTCCACTGAGCACTAGAAGTGGGATTCTATTTACAAAAAAGCTGAATTGTGGCCAAATTTTAAGTGATACTTCTATTGTTTAAAGTGAGGCTTGCCCATAGGTCATAGTTTCTAAACACTACCATATACTCCCTCTTCTACAGAGTCCTCAACAATGAAGCATTAGTAGAATGTATTTTTAAAAGTTGACTTCTCTTGGGCTAAGGATTTCCTTTGTTTTTGCCCCTTATAAAAAACAACATATTCACAAATCTTCCAAAACTGGTCTAGTGATAATAACTTACTGGCCTTTCTGAAACACACACCAGATAATATCACTTGTCAGCCTAAAACTCTCCTGTCACTCTCTAGGGCATGGGTGGGCCTTTGCACAGCCTGTTCCCTCCACATGGAAAGCTCTCAACAATTCCTTCTTCTTCCTCACCTGAAATTCAGTTTAATCACTGCCTCCTCAGGGAACTGTCCTCTGACTTCCTTGACTGAGTCCTTGATTACAACTCTGAGGTGTGATGTGAAGTTTATTTGTCTGAGCACAAGGTCACCACAAATATCCTATGTGTTCTGTTGTCACTCTTGCAGACATGCTGGCTGCCCACTGCATGCACAGTGCTGCCCGGGCACATGGCCATTACCTCAGGGGTTCCTCCTTCGTGCAGCCTTCAGTCCCCTGGGGTAAACAGACAGTAATCAAATATGAGAATGAGTACGCCTGCCACTGCCCTCCCCTTACAGAGCATGTAGAGAGTTAAACAAGTGATTGGAGTTAGTGTGGAGTCAGCCTTGAGGGGGGAAGTTCAAGTGGCAATCCATCAAACTCCAATAAGGATGAGCTTATGGCATAGTCACACCTTTGCTCAAACAATTCTTTTAACACTTTTTCAGTCTAAGAAGACCATGGCCTCACATGCCAGGCTCGCTGTGCCAGCTTGAATGATGGTTACCTTCAGCATGGGCAGAGGAGCAGGGACTCTTATCTTTCCTTCTCTTCCTCCATCCTGAGATCATCCTCCATCTTCCTATTCTCTTGGACTAGACCATCTACCCCAAAGCCAACATCTCATGGTTTTTGCTTCTGTAAATGAATCTCCTTTTGCAAGCGTACATCTTGTTTTCCATTATGTATGCAATAAAATAGCCTATCACTTTCCTTTAATTTTCACATGTGTACTAGCATCCCCATTTTACAGACAGGAATAGTCATTCATAAAATGAGCTAGTTTCCAGCAGAACTGGATCTCAAAGCCAGGTTTAAGATTCCCAGTCTAGCATTTTCCCCTATATCACAGTTCCTGGGCTGAGCAAGGCCTTTTTCAAAGCCACAGGAAGCCAAAGTTGGTTGCCTCCTGCTGGCAAAGAGCTCCTTCCAGGCTTCTGGTACTACTGCCAAAGAAGGGAGAGTGTGAGAAGTGAGTCGGGTGGCGGGGTTTCTCACAGAGGCAGTCTGTGCTTCTGTTGCCCTTCCTGGTCCTTGAAGGAGGGAATGGATTATGTGCAGGGGTAGGGGGATTATGAAAATCAATAATTCATGACAGTTGACCTGTGTCAGAAAAGTATCCACCCACATTTGTCCCCTGAAAGTCACATTTTCCATGTGTTCACATTTGTCTTTCACCAATGGCATCAACCAGGTGGACTCAGCAAGAAATATCAAGGCTTTAGCCGAATGCTGTGGAGTTTCATTTCACTTCATTTTCCCAGCCAGGGCTGGCTTGGAAGCTAGTTTTTCTTACTAGGTTGTTTGTACATGAAAAGCAAATTCCCAGAGGTTCCCAAGATTGCTGAGATCCTATTCGAGATGACTGCTCCCTCCCACCTGCCCACCCACCCACTAATAAGACATAATGCTGTCCTATTTTTGGTAACAATTAAAGGGCCTCCCGGTGAAAGCAGAAAGCTGTTTATTTTCTGTTACATCACTTCGCTTTGCCTTCGAAGACTGGTCTGTGCTCAGTGTTTTCTGGTGATGCAAGTCAGCTCTCTTCCTCTAGCAGTTGGATCGCTCCCATCTCACAGCACCTCACAGGTCTCTTCCTCGGAGCAGTGCGCTGCTGAAGCGAGGAGCTGCTCACGAATCAGCTGCAGGTCCCTGTTTTGAAAAGCAGAGGTACAGAGGCAGAGGAAGAGGGTGGACTTCTGTGTGACCTGTTCTTAGAGCAAGACAATCACCATCCGAATTCCAGAAGCCCAGTTCATGTGTGGGGATATTTTTTCGACTACATGGAATCAGAAAGAAGCAAAAGGATGGGAAATGCCTGCATTACCCTGAAAAGAATTGCTTATTGCCTATGTCTCTTATCTGCGCTTTTGCTGACTGAGGGGAAGAAACCAGCGAAGCCAAAATGCCCTGCTGTGTGTACTTGTACCAAAGATAATGCTTTATGTGAGAATGCCAGATCCATTCCACGCACCGTTCCTCCTGATGTTATCTCACTGTAAGGCCCGTAAGCATTTTGATATATAATTTATGATTTTAAAATTCCAGTGGGTGTATGTGGGGCTTTGTATGTATCGGTAGAAAGGCATGGAGAGAGGGAGAAAGAGAGAGATTCTTTTTGCATGCTTGGCCATTTGACAGTGCTAACATTTTGCTGCATTTAAGATTTTGGAATTTTTATTAGTGACTACTGATGCCTAGATACCCTCCACCCCTGAACGTTATTATGAGAAACCTGTAGCAGACTCATCTCTCTCACTTCATCTGGGAAGGAGCTGTATTGTACTTCATCAAATAGTGTCGAAACAGTGACTGTTATGCTAAACTGGATTAACATAAGGTTTGTTCTGTGTGTGTCTTTGTGTGTGTCTGTTTTTTGTATTTTGTTTTCTTTCAGATCCTTTGTGAGATCTGGTTTTACTGAAATCTCAGAAGGGAGTTTTTTATTCACACCATCGCTGCAGCTCTTGTGAGAAATATTTATATCATGACTATTTTTAATATGGTATATATTTGGATGAGCCTTCTAGTAAAATGAACTCAATTTTAATTTTGTTGAATGTGATGCTATTTCTGAAAAGAAAGGATATCGGTAAAGTAAGAGGTAGATGGGGTTTGTCTGCAACTTTATACCAACAGTGCAGCCACAGGAATGCAGCCACATTGAGTCTTACAGTGATAAATTTGCTAACCTGTAATGCTGTCTATTTTAAAGGCTATTTATGAAGTTGTTGGAATGTTGCAACAAGAATCCCACTTCTATTCCACTATTTTACTTTCATTTTTAACTTGGGAACTTTAATTATTTTGCTCTGGAGTTTTGCATTTGTCAGTACAGAGCCCAGCATAACATATGCGCTCAAGATGTTGTCTCCCAGGGATCTGGGGCAGGCTGCTACTCTGTATGATTTACCATGTGGGGAAGAAAAAAAGAAAGAAAAAAATGTTTCTTTCTAGGTAATTTCTTAAAATATCAGTTCCTGAGAGATTGCTTTCTAATCCCATGTAATTTATAACTAGTCTCCTTACAAGGAGGGAAACAAAATATTAATATAGGCTATCACAGAGGATTATTCTTTGCTATATGTTTTGAGTTGGCCACAAGGGAATCACATATTCAGTCAATGCCTGGAAATAGTAAAAAAAAAATTGACTAAGAAATCAGATATCTACACAGGCAAAACATAATGTGTATAATTTATTTTCATGTGTAATATTTGGCAATTGGAGTTCCAGTTCTCAGAGAAGTATCACGTGGGGGTCAAGAAGTCTCAAGGTGTTTAGGTATTGGGCAACAGACTTGGGTTGGTAGCTAAGTGGAGCCAGAGGAGAGTAAGTTAATCACTGATACACTGAGTTTGGGGTATCTTACTACATGATTTAGGACCCCAGTTTTTGGCTTTTGGGGGCATTGTTTTTTGTCTTACTTGGCTATTTTGGCTGTTATATATACATGAGATTATACACATACAGGTAAATACCCTCTGCTCACTAGAACTTAGACTTGCAGTCTTCTGCAGATCACTGAATGTCACTCAGCCTCAGTCTCTTCATCTGTAAAATGGAGATGACAGCACATATTGTGAAAGGTTTTATCAGAGATAATTAAAATTAAGTAGATAAAATGGCATAATATATAGCAAATGATTGCATGTTTTATAAATGATATGGTTTAAAATTTTTACATAAAGCTAAAAGTTATTCAATTGATTGTTTTGTCTGAGTGAAATCTCGATATGGTTTGACTATTTGAATTTATAAACTTGATAAGGTGTTTTGATATTATGTAATGATGTTGGCTAATGTCCTTCCTCTGGCTAATGTCTGAGTGATTAACAATTGAGTGGATTATTCCTAAGGGGTTTATCTGTTTGATTGATGACCTACAGTGTGCTTAGGAGAAGTGTCAGCACATCAAACAAATTCAAAAAAGATGGACCCTTTTGAGTACAGAAAGGGGCAAAGTCTCTAAATCTGGGAACTTTCCATAGGATGAGAATTTGCTGTGCTTGGGAAAAATGATAAACTGTGCTCATTTGTTAAATAAATAAACAGCTGAAAAATGTATTTTTATGTACTAAGGCACCTACTTCCCTCCCCCCCCAGGATAATTTAATAGACCAGTCCACAAAATTTAAAACTCTCAGTCATACAACTACTCATATTCTGACATTAGATAAATGTTAGCTATGACACAGAAAGCCTGGATTGATGAACCTCATCAGTCACCACATCTCCACTTTGTTTTTGTTGGGTGGCCCCAACGACAACAAGCACAGATGCTGGACAGTGATATAGAAATAGTTACCGGCTGCTGCAGGGTAATGTGATTACACACATTTAGAATCACAGAGGGAAGCCAAGGGATTGGTTTTAAATAGCCCATACTGAGTGTGTGCCATGCCCCTCCGTCCCATGCTCCAAGTTCTTATGGAACATTCCAGCCCCTCTTTCTAAAAGCAGTTCAGGTTTCAGAAATAACAAAAGGGCTAGCAGTCTTTCCCTATATGTCCTCAATTGATTCACACTGGCTCATCTCTACATGATAGATTTATCTTATACTGATCTTACACAAAATTCTCAGGGGTCAAAGTTTTTTTCTATCTCTAGGACCCTGTTCCTCAGGACTTTCTTCTCCATCCTTCCTGCCCAATGTTCTCTGCTCATGCTGTCTTCAAGAAAAGGTTGAATAAGCTCATTTTCATTGAGGAGGAAATAAATACTAAAGCTGCTATTATGAATTGTATTATGATCATAACAATTACAGGAATGCATGGATCACAAACAGAACAGGTCCTGTGAGACAGAGCTGCCCAGAGCCCTGAAAACATGACATGGACTGCCAGCTTGCCGTAGGAACATGAAGAACAAGAAGCCACCAGGCCTAGATCCTATGAGCCATTGCTTGGCATTGGCAATGAATTTAATGGTTTCCAATGTTTTTGTAACCAAGGATCACCAAACAGGCTTCATAAATGTGAAGAGATAAACTTTAGAATCGATTTTGTTTGACTGATATTTGAAGACAGTTGATATCTTACTTTGTTATTAGAAAGGAAAAAAAAATGTCTATTACTACCCTTTATCTTAACAATCTGATAATTTTGTATGGCCCCAGATATTTTTTCAGACCTCTATAGAAAGCATGATGAGAAGTACTTTGTAAAATGTCAGCCTGGGATACTGAGGAAAAGAGACACAACACCACAAGTTATATGTAGTGTTTGGGAACATATTCTGATGGGGTATGGCTGGCAGTTTGCATTGGAGGGGGAAAAATCCCTCGTATTTTGTACAGAGAAGAGAAAAAAATTAAAAAATATATAATAAAAATGTATCAGATTAGTTGTATAAAATAATTTTTGAAATCTCATTTATGATCTTTAAAAATTAAAAAAAAACATTTCCCAAGAAAATGCAGTTTTATTCATGTTTTTCATGGGGATAATTTGAAACATAACCAAGAGAATGATTACACATTCTAGGTTGCTCTTAGTGATAGAAAGTGATACTTTTAGTGAATGCAATTTAGAGAAAAGTGTTTTCACACATTACAGCCCTGTTCCTTCTCAATTACACATTGAAATCCCCAGTGATACAGACTTAAGACAGAAGTAAGACTCAAATTAAGGGTAAAATGTGGCTACATTGCCATTCACTAATGAACTAAGTTCCTGAAACTCCTAAGAGGATTCTATTTGTGGGAAGTGAACTCCAGAGGTAGCTTTAGGATCATTCTTTAAAAAAAGAAAAGAATTCAATATGGCTAGAAAAATTCTATTTATTTCAATAAGATTTGATCTTATTTGTTTGGAATACTGAATTGATTTTTCTGGGCAAAAATAGCATTGTTTTTGAAATTAACCCATTATTGATAGATAAGTAGAGAGTCCATGAGAAATTAAAGAAAAAAAAAAAAGTAGGAAAGCAAATAACATGAACCAAAGAAAAACAAGCCTGACATTAGTAAGGTTTTAACCATTTGATCTTTCAAAACATTACTTGTTCCAGAAAAAAATATCCATGGCCTATCTCACTTTTTCTCTTCATCTTACTACAACTGTAAGAAAAATTTTACAGTCCTCAAGGACCACTAAAGCCTGACCTATCAGCTCTGAGGGTATTTAGAGAAATGTCTAGCTGTTTATATATAGATGAATATGTTTTGGTTTGTACCCAGGGGATGCCCTCACAACGATGGATTGATAGTGAAAATTTCAGTTATCAAGGCTATTTTATCTACATTTCACTCAGTGATTCATAGATCCGAGTTTTTAACTTTTTACTTGATTCTTATAATTGGGTAAACTAGCTCTCTACAACAAATGTTTTTCTCTGAAAGTATGTTATATTCTTCCAGTTTTTCAGGCAAGAAACCCAACAGTCTCCATCCTTTCTCTCAGTACCCATTTACAACTGATCAAGTCCGTTCTCAATCAGTACAAGAAGCCGCTTCCTCTTCTGCCCTCCAGGCTGAGTCTTTGTACATACTTAACGCACCACCTACTTGGCTCTCAGCTCTCTTCCCAGCCCTCTCTGTTAGAATTACCTCTCATCACGGCACTCTTGTGCTTGGAGGCCCTTAATGGTTTCCTAGGAACAGAGAAGGTCTGAACACCAGAGCTGGTGCTAATGGCATTTGCCCTTTTCTTATTTGTCCAGGGTATCACTTACAACATTGACTTGAAACACCTGCACGCTATACATGCAAACTCTATCCATAGCTCATTCTGTGATCTGTTTTCTCAGCTTCTACATACTTTACTAATGTCTAGTTTTATTGGAATTATTTGTACTTGTATACATTCCATGTTTATCCTGGAGGATTGTCAGTGTGATGGCCCTAGGGAAAAGTCTAGGTGTTATAAGCTCAGACATTGCTTCCTATATATTTAATGAATCCAATCTATATTTGCATAAATTTTCTGCTAAAGATTCCTATTTTGGGCTGGGCATATAGCCTCAGTGGTGTAGCACCTGCCTGGCAAGCATGAGGTCCTGAGTTTGAGTCCCAGTACATACACAAAAAAATAAAAATAAAGATTCCTATTTTACTATCCATTGAAAGTCCTGGTCATGTCCACACCCTATATGAATTTGGTATACCTATCTGATTTCACATGGACTCGCAGGGTGGTCTGGAAAGTGAACTGAATCCAGAAAATGCAAAGAGATGTTTACTCACGAAGCTGTAATCAAAATTCTTCAGCACACTTTTCCAGAACTTCAAAAGTAAAACATCTAAGAGTCTACTGAGATCCACTGCTTGAATCTCTTTTCTGTCGTGCTGACTGCACCTTTAACCTCATAGCTTCTTAGTTTGACTATGGAGGCTCATTGGCCCTTGACTAGCCTATGAAAGAGTCCCCCTTATCCTATTTGATGGCACATCAGTACAGTTGTCCCTGGTGAGCTGGCCATCTGGCAAATAGCAAAGAATGTGTTTTGTGGATAAACACGAGTCCCAAA